TACTTTGTCGACTGGGTGTAAAAACGCCCAAATGCCGTGCGATCGGGACAAAAACAAACGTTTTTTTTTCCCGTGTCCCAAAAGTAGTGCGCCACAAAGGACTTACTGAATTTAGTGAACAAAGACGGAAACGTGGATCATAATCTCCGGCTGCAGGATGAGCAGAAACAGAAATGCTACAGCTAGCAGTGGTCCCTTCATCACAGGAAAGGCTTACTGAAGGTTTTTACGGCGTTTTATCGAACAGCGTAGAAACGCAGCTACAGAAACAGCAGCTAAACAGTTTGATGCTGTTTTCACGAGTCTTCACCGCTAATAGCTTGTAGAGTGCTAATGTTTTTAGCAGTTAGCTCGGTGTTGCAACGTGGAACTGCGGAGGATGAGGATTAAAGGGACTTTACAGACTTTTGAATTTTTATGCTCGCGATCGCCCCCTCAGGCCAAAAGCGTAACAGCAGCTTCAATAGTAGGCTCGTGCACGAGGCGCGCATGCTGTACGTGCACACTCCTTAACGAAAATAACAGCTGAGACAGTCCCGTGTGTGTGTGTGTGTGGCCCGGAGGACAGAGGACAGGAGAACACGCAGCTAATTAATTAAATAATGTGGTTCTGTAGCTTTCTCTTCAGCACAGCCGACAAAGGTTTATGATGGGTCAGTCCTCCTGCATGCTCAGATCATTCCCTTCCCTTGCTTGAAAAATTGTTCCAAAATGAAAGTTGAACCCACATCTTTTTTATCTGTGAATTCAATGCCGTTCGGCAAGTCTCAAATAAAAATTTGGGCGTCTTACTGTAAAAAAATATACCATTAATGTAAAAAATAAACTCTAAATAAACTATGTTCACATCCAGAATCAAACCCAGGTCTTCTGCATGAGAGTCAGACATCTTACAAGGTGAGCTACACTCTAGTAACATTCACAGTATCTGTAACATTTATTTCCTTGATGACAGCTGAAACAGTGAAAATGGCTGTTTTGTTGCTAATTAGCAGGAAATATCTAGAAGAAAGTTCTACAGAAAGTAGCTAAGGGTCCTCAGAAATGTAGCTAGCTTTGTCACTAGGCGTTAGGAACAGCGACAAAGTGGCACTGCCTCTCTCTCTGCTGCTAAAGCTACGGATAGCAAATGCTACGGGCGATGCCTGAGCGTGAACGCGCATGAAGCAGCCTGCTCGACCCGAGCGTCTCTCTTTTTCTGTGATTTTACAGAAAAACAGGCAATCACAGTAAAAATGCCAGGGCTCATTCTACAGGACCAGGGCATTGCAGGAGAACGTATGAAGAAGACATTTATTATTTCTGTACATGTTTTGGCTGTCACACTTCCTTATAGTCCCTTTAAAGAGAATTTTGTTTTTTACGTAACCAAACGAGACACAAAGGGTTAAACTTAGGAGCGGCGAGGTGTCTGTTGTCTTTGGTTGTGAATCAATAACCTAATTACCACCAAGTGTTTACACTACCGGCGTGTCTGCTGCCATGCTGGGATTTAGCCCGAAACACGGTGTTTGTTGTAAATGTTCTATAAACGTACGAACAATGTTAACTGTACATGTTCAGTAAACTAACCTGGTGGTTATAGGTTCAAACAGACACCAAATCTTGTTTTTATTCATTCTACTGGGACTTTATTTTGCTCAAATTGAAATTTAGACCTGCTTCTAATTCTGGCCTCCTTCAAATAAAGGCCTGGGCCTGTATTAGAGGATTTATGGTAACCAACCATAGTTAACTGCTTTGGATCAAAAAACATGTCAGACATCAGCCCGATAGCTACAAGTAGTTCACTTTCATTTAAACTGGAAATTTGCCCCGGAAGGAGCTGCCACCTCACCCCACCGTCCTTTTGAAAATACCACGGTGTATTCTGGGAAACTTTTGACCAAGGCTAGGCTACAAGGCACCTCCCATGTATCCTTGCTCAGCTAGCTAAACCGCTAACAAATGGAGAACAGACTCCTCGGTAGAACATGAACATGGCGGTTCCTGATGGCGTGTCTCCTAGGCAACCAGGACGGGACCAAGACGAGGTTCCTTGGCATTGAGAAACACGACAGGTTTCCAGATGTCCGCCATCTTCCACAGTGCCAGAGCGGGTTGTTGGTGCCCTCTACTGGCCAATAGATGTAAACATAAACCCAGTGTTGTGACCATCAAAATAAAGTTTTGATTATTTTTAATTAAAATATAGCTTTTAATGGAAACACTGTACCTTCCTTCTGCACACCTCTGTCCCTGTGGACACAGAGGATAGCTCTTGTTCCACGTTCGACCTCTAAAGGTTCTACTTACGAGTTCACTTCGGTTTAAAGGGTTTGTTTCTCTACATAATCCGGCGGTAGGGCTTCAGCTCAGGCCTGACGCTCGCTCTGCTCACCCAGGAGTTTGTTGACATTATTCTTCTGCAGATGGCCGATGAAATGCCACTTGATCTCTGGACACGATTCTAAAATCTACATCAAAGAAAACTTAGAAAGGCTGGGGAACAAAAACCTCCTCCTGAGTCTGTAAAAGTGTGAGCCTACCAGAGGATCTGAAGCTTTGTCCACGAGTTCGTTGACCTGGTTGGAGACACGAGGAGAGGTTTGATTGTGTTGCTTTCAGAGGTGAAAACTAAACAGCGGCAGCGTTCCATACTCACGTAATTCTCCCCAAAGTTGCGCTGCCCTTGCCTGTATGCCTCTACGATCATCTCTGGGGGTTTGGTCTTGCTGACAGCAACGAGTCGGGGCGGCACCGCTGGGAGCGTCTGAGGAAGGACATCATCAGATGGGCTCACGCTATAAACCATGAGTCAGCAGGATTTTACTGGAGCTGCTGCAGGTGGAAAACGCCCTGTTTGGTTTATTAGGGACCAACCGCTGACGTCTGGGTAACCGTGGAAACAACCTTGTTTTTAGTTTGGTTCCTGTAATATTTTACATTTTCCCAGAATGTGTGCGTTCCAAGTTTCTAAGTACATGTGGCGAGGAGCAGCGAGGGCCTTGGTGGGCTTCGACCCCCGAGTCACGCGCTAGCCAGTCAGCCAAAGGGACATCCCGTGGGCAAGGGCGCACGATCAATGGGGATACGGTGATGCTCACCCTGTCACATAAACATGAATGAACTTTGACCCGTGAACCATAAAAAACATCCTAAACAAAAACTTTTAACAGTGTGTTCTTTAAATGACAGCTTAGCCATTTTGACCTAATCTGGGTGGTCCAACAGCGGCCCTGGAGCCCAGGACCAGCAGCAACAGCGGCCCCGGAGCCCAGGACCAGCAGCAACAGCGGCCCCGGAGCCCAGGACCAGCAGCAACAGCGGCCCCGGAGCCCAGGACCAGCAGCAACAGCGGCCCCGGAGCCCAAGACCAGCAGCAACAGCGGCCCCGGAGCCCAGGACCAGCAGCAACAGCGGCCCCGGGGCCCAGGACCAGCAGCAACAGCGGCCCCGGAGCCCAGGACCAGCAGCACCAGCGGCCCCGGAGCCCAGGACCAGCAGCAACAGCGGCCCCGGAGCCCAGGACCAGCAGCAACAGCGGCCCCGGAGCCCAGGACCAGCAGCAACAGCGGCCCCGGAGCCCAGGACCAGCAGCAACAGCGGCCCCGGAGCCCAGGACCAGCAGCAACAGCGGCCCCGGAGCCCAGGACCAGCAGCAACAGCGGCCCCGGAGCCCAGGACCAGCAGCAACAGCGGCCCCGGAGCCCAGGACCAGCAGCAACAGCGGACTCATGCATGAGGGACGGTTTTCCAGGCAGGAAGCTGGAGTCCCACATAATCACACAGACGATCAGCTGATGAATGGGTCATCGCTCAGGTCTTACATTTACAGTTTCCAGCATTTTTAAAGAAAATGTATATGAACACGGTTCATCTGCTAGTGAATCATATTTTACTCACTGCTTCATTGTTTTCTGTTTGTTTAGTTTCTGAATTTATTGTCACGTTTTCAGCTCTTAAATCCCCTGCGTGGGTCAAAGGTCAAAAAGGCTCTACGGTCAGTCCGTCAGCGTGAGACGCACCGATTCTGGTTTACAGACCGATACCAGGAGACACGCTAGTTTTAAACATTCCTTACGAACAACGATTCTGGAACAAAAACGTAAAACACGAATTTTCTGTTTTTGCTGAGTTAGCTTGTAACCATGAGAAGTTCACGGACCTGGGAAAATGTTCATTTTCTTAATTGCTGCTTGACAGTGATGTGTTCAAGGACCACTGAAAGAAAATGAGATGTAATCGGGTGAACATCGGTGGAGAACGACCACGAGCCGGTTTAACAGCTGGGGAGATGGTAACGGACCCTGACCCAACGCAGCGTGGTTCAGGAGTCCGCTGCATCGTGCAGTCTTATGGAGGAGCTGCCTCCATCCGAAGGTTGAGATGTTTGCCAGCCTTACATAACCGCTCTTGTTTTCGGCACCACCACTTCCTCCGCGCGCCGACACCGGAGCGTCGGAGACGGTGCTGCCGAGCGGAGCTTCCCGGGCTGCGCTTACCTTGGGCCGCCGTGCCGCCGCCTGGTTCACCCGCTCCAGCACAGACTGGATCGCCTTCCCAACCTCCTCCGACATTGCTACTTTCCACATAGCGTCAAACGGCTACGAAACACGACGTGAATGACGCAGGCGTAGTGACGTCAACCCACGTTCAAAATAGAAACCCGCCGTGTGGATTGGAGCGCCCTCTGGTGGTAAGAGTCAACAATGTCAGGCTGCATTATAAAAGCAGGAACGCCCTGCTGCTGGCTTCCAGAGGACTATTTGGGCCCAACATGGGATTAGGACAGGATTTTTGTTTCAAAATGATTGTTTTAAAGTTTTATTGTTGATCAATGAAATCTTCAAAAGCAACATGTGCATGACAATTAAGTCTAGAATAGACTTTGTTGATCCCACAGTGGGGAAATCCACCAACACTTAAGAGGTACATGTTTAAACACATAGCTGGTATTGTAACCCTTCGACCTCTAAAAACCACAAATAAAAATGAAAAACTTGGGTTCCAGATCTCTATTAATAATACACTGAACTTATATACCGATTTTTAGGACACTCAAAGATGCTTCCATGCACTCTCACATTCACACACTGCCAGTGATGATGAGCTACTATGTAGCCACAGCAGCTCTGGGGCGGTCTGACAGAGGCGAGGCTGCCTTCTGGCACCAGCGGCCCCTCTGACCACCACCAACACAGGCAGAGGGGATGAATGACCTACGGTAGCGTTCCGTTTTACACCTGGAACCTCTCAGTCTGCCTCTGGAGGAGCTGTTCATGGTCTCCACATCTGCCTCTGGAGGAGCTGTTCATGGTCTCCACGTCTGCCTCTGGAGGAGCTGTTCATGGTCTCCACGTCTGCCTCTGGAGGAGCTGTTCATGGTCTCCACGTCTGCCTCTGGAGGAGCTGTCCATGGTCTCCACGTCTGCCCCTGGAGGAGCTGTCCATGGTCTCCACGTCTGCCCCTGGAGGAGCTGTCCATGGTCTCCACGTCTGCCCCTGGAGGAGCTGTCCATGGTCTCCACGTCTGCCTCTGGAGGAGCTGTTCATGGTCTCCACGTCTGCCTCTGGAGGAGCTGTCCATGGTCTCCACGTCTGCCTCTGGAGGAGCTGTTCATGGTCTCCACGTCTGCCTCTGGAGGAGCTGTCCATGGTCTCCACGTCTGCCTCTGGAGGAGCTGTCCATGGTCTCCACGTCTGCCTCTGGAGGAGCTGTTCATGGTCTCCACGTCTGCCTCTGGAGGAGCTGTCCATGGTCTCCACATCTGCCTCTGGTGGAGCTGTTCATGGTCTCCACGTCTGCCTCTGGAGGAGCTGTCCATGGTCTCCACATCTGCCTCTGGTGGAGCTGTTCATGGTCTCCACATCTGCCTCTGGAGGAGCTGTCCACGGTCTCCACGTCTGCCTCTGGAGGAGCTGTCCATGGTCTCCACGTCTGCCTCTGGAGGAGCTGTCCATGGTCTCCACATCTGCCTCTGGTGGAGCTGTTCATGGTCTCCACGTCTGCCCCTGGAGGAGCTGTCCATGGTCTCCACATCTGCCTCTGGAGGAGCTGTCCACGGTCTCCACGTCTGCCTCTGGAGGAGCTGTCCATGGTCTCCACGTCTGCCTCTGGAGGAGCTGTCCATGGTCTCCACGTCTGCCTCTGGAGGAGCTGTCCATGGTCTCCACGTCTGCCTCTGGAGGAGCTTTCCATGGTCTCCACGTCTGCCTCTGGAGGAGCTGTCCACGGTCTCCCCAGTGGAATGCAGTGGGTGGGAGGGTTTTTTTAAGATGGAGGTCATCTTCCCCAGCATCCTTCTTTCACACGTCTCCTCAGCTGAATCCAGCGGGCAGCTCAGAACCGAGCTAGCATTGTGAACTAGCTTGTTCGGTCTCTTCCTGTCTCGGTCAGAGCTGCCTGCACCCCAGCAGACCATCAGTGGATCACAGAGCCAACCACAGAGTGATGAAAGGGTTTTAGCTGCAGAATTAACTCAGAAGGACCTCAGCCTCCTCAGGAGGTGGAGACGGCTTTGGCCCTTTTTAAACAGCATGTGTTGTTGGACCAGTTGTTTGCTGTTGAGGTGAACACCCAGGTAACTGAAGCTATCCACCTCCTCCCTGGACGTTTACTGGTGAGTGTTTCTCTGGAAGTCAATCACCATTGCTTCTCTTAGAACTTCTAATAGGGATGTGAATCTTAGAGCAACTCACCATTTGATTCGATTCTGAATCTTGGGGTGCTGATTCGATTCAGAATCGATTCTCGATCCTCAATTTAAATCGATTCACAATCAGTGTAAAAGTGTCGGCTCCAGGGTGAACTACTCTGGTGTACAAGTTAGTTAAAGCTATGCGACATTTGACCAAAACAACATTTTTGCTTACCTTGTAAAATATAACTAATCTGTAGTTACCTAACAGTAGCTTTGAAAGTAATAAGGTCAAGTACTTTTCAAGTATGTGTAGAAACAAGTTACATGAGTAATCCTGAGTACTCACTTATCAACTTAGAAAATAAATGAGAACATCTCAAATGAATGAGTATGGGAAAAATGACAATCTAGTGCCCTCGTATCAGCAGATTCAAACACAAATCATCTCAATTTATGGGACCACAAAAGTAATCGGAGTACTGACTCTCCAAGTGCATCTCAAACCTGTAACATGCCAAATATTTGAGTTCCTGGAATCAAATCTGAACCTTTATCAGAGCCCCGATTCAGACTTGAATGGATTTTTTTCAGCACCTTTAACTTCTAACTAATCACACATGGCCATGGGAACAGGCTTCTACTTCAGGATATTTTCAAACAACTACAGGTGCTGGCCAGTAAATTAGAATATCATCAAAAGGTTGAAAATATTTCAGTAATTCCATTCAAAACGTGAAACTTGTACATTATATTCATGCAATGCACACAGACCAATGTATTTCCAATGTTCATTACATTTAAATTTGATATTCATAAGTGACAACTAATGAAAACTCCAAATTTGGTATCTCAAAAAATTAGAATATTCTGAAAAGGCTGAATATAGAAGACACCTGCTGCCACTCTAATCAGCTGATTTACTCAAAACACCTGCAAAGGCCTTTAAAAGGTCCCTCAGTCTTGTTTTGAAGGCACCACAATCATGGGGAAGACTTCTGACTTAACAGCTGTCCAAAAGACAATCATTGACACCTTGCACAAGGAGGGCAAGACACAAAAGGTGATTGCTAAAGAAGCTGGCTGTTCGCAGAGCTCTGTGTCCAAGCACATTAACAGACAGGCGAAGGGACGGAAAAAATGTGGTAGACAAAAGTGTACAAGCTCTAGGGATAACCGCACCCTGCAGAGAATTGTGACGACAAACCCATTCAAAAATGTGGGGGAGATCCACAAAGAGTGGACTGCAGCTGGAGTCAGCGCTTCAAGAACCACCACGAGGAGACTCATGAAAGACATGGGATTCAGGTGTCGCATTCCGTGTGTCAAGCCACTCTTGAACAAGAAACAGCGCAAGAAGCGTCTCGCCTGGGCCAAGGACAAAAAGGACTGGACTGATGCTGAGTGGTCCAAAGTTATGTTTTCTGATGAAAGCAAGTTCTGCATTTCCTTTGGAAATCAAGGACCCAGAGTCTGGAGGAAGAGCGGAGAAGCACAGAATCCACGTTGCATGAGGTCCAGTGTAAAGTTTCCACCGTCAGTGATGGTGTGGGGTGCCATGTCATCTGCCGGTGTTGGCCCACTCTGTTTCCTGAGGTCCAGGGTCAATGCAGCCGTCTACCAGGAAGTTTTAGAGCACTTCATGCTTCCTGCTGCTGACCAACTTTATGGGGATGCAGACTTCACCTTTCAACAGGACTTGGCACCTGCACACAGTGCCAAAACCACCAGCACCTGGTTCAAGGACCATGGTATCCCTGTCCTTGATTGGCCAGCAAACTCGCCTGACCTTAACCCCATAGAAAATCTATGGGGTATTGTGAAGCGGAGGATGCAATACGCTAGACCCAACAATGCAGAGGAGCTGAAGACGACTATCAGAGCAACCTGGGCTCTCATAACACCTGAGCAGTGCCACAGACTGATCGAGTCCATGCCACGCCGCATTACTGCAGTTATTGAGGCAAAAGGAGCCCCGACTAAGTATTGAGTGCTATACATGCACATTCTTTTCATGTTCATTCTTTTCAGTTGGCCAACATTAGAGAAACAAACATTTTTCATTGGCCTTTAGAATATTCTAATTTTCTGAGATACCAGATTTGATGTTTTCATTGGTTGTCACCTATAAATATCAAAATTAAACGTAATAAACATCGGAAATACATTGGTCTGTGTGCATTGCATGAATATAATGTACAAGTTTCACGTTTTGAATGGAATTACTGAAATATTTTCAACCTTTTGATGATATTCTAATTTACTGGCCAGCACCTGTATATATGTATGTGTATGCGTGTGTGTGTGTGTGTATGTATGTGTATGTGTGTGTGTGTGTATGTATGTGTATGTGTGTGTATGTATGTGTATGTGTATGTATGTGTATGTGTGTGTATGTATGTGTGTAGTGTGTATGTATGTGTGTGTATGTATGTATGTATATATGTATGTATGTGTATGCGTGTGTGTATGTATGTATGTGTGTGTGTGTGTGTATGTATGTGTATGTGTATGTATGTGTATGTGTGTGTATGTATGTGTATGTGTATGTATGTGTATGTGTGTGTATGTATGTGTGTAGTGTGTATGTATGTGTGTGTATGTATGTATGTGTGTAGTGTGTATGTATGTGTGTGTATGTATGTATGTATATATGTATGTATGTGTATGCGTGTGTGTATGTATGTATGTGTGTGTGTGTGTGTGTATGTATGTATGTATATATGTATGTATGTGTATGCGTGTGTGTATGTATGTATGTATGTATGTATGTGTATGTATGTGTGTGTATGTATGTATGTATATATGTATGTATGTGTATGCGTGTGTGTATGTATGTATGTATGTATGTGTATGTGTGTAGTGTGTATGTATGTATGTGTTTATGTATGTATGTATATATGTATGTATGTGTATGCGTGTGTGTGTGTATGTATGTATGTATGTATGTGTGTGTGTGTGTGTGTAGTGTGTATGTACACATCATGCAGGTGTCACTAAATAAAAAATGCTTAATTTACAACAATTCAGTGTTTTATAAACTTTTGGGAAAGCTGCACAAACTGGGTTCAGAGAAGTAGTTCCAGCAGCACCTGAACGTCTAAAACGACTCCGTTAGCTAGTTCAACTCTTCTGGTTGTAGACTGCTTCGGCACTTCAGCAGTAAAAACCAAAGGTGCTGTTATGTTACACAGAACAGAAACTCACAGTAAACAAAATCAGATTTATTCACAAAACATTCAAACAAAAGACCAGAGTGGAGGAAATAAAACAAGTTTAACATCTAAAATGGAATACAGGTGATGCTCCTCTCTCATACTCTCTCCAAGGCCTCCAACATGATGATGCTGTTTCCTCTGATCACCTAGGAAAACAAAACACAGTTATTTATTCAGTGTTTAACGTGTGTGATGCCCGACTGTAGCCAACCACACCAACAGACGTTCGGTTCTCACTGGAAGCTGAGACTAAATACTTGCAAATATGGATCCAGACACCTTTTTAGGACTGGGCTCAAAACATTTTTATTTGATTTATGTTTAGGGCCCATGGTTAAAATCTGATGTTAGCCCAGATGTGGACAAGTGGGGGAGTAGAGGGAGGTGGAGTGTGCTACTACTAGTTTACCCGTTTAATTATAGATCCACTAGGATACATACAATAAAGTTTATCTCTCACCTAATAGAATATTTACTAAGAAATCACAATGTAACCATAGAAACACCACTGTGTGCGTGCATGCGTGTGTGTGCGTGCGCGTGTGTGTGTGTGTGAGTCGTGGAGGATGGCTGCTTATACTGAGCCAGGATTCTCTGGAGGATTCTTCCTGTTAAAAGGGAGTTTTCCTCTCTACTGTCGCTGCATGCTTGCTTAGTATGAGGATTGCTGTAAAGACTCTGACACTAGTCAGTGACTCGATGCGACCTGCTGGGTTCCTTATATAGGAAACGTGTTACTGATTGGCTTAATGACCTGACCCCCCCCCCCCCCCCCCCCGGTCTCAGGTATTTAGTCTACACTCTTTTCAAAGATCATGACAGACCAACATGGCTAATTTCACGGTATTTATTAACAAAAACAAAAGAAAAGAGGAGAAGGGAACATGCTCAGGTACTGACCACCATGCCGATGGTGTTTTGTTGTCCTCCTGGGGCCATCTCCAGACAGTCGTCCATTACCAGGTTCATGAAGGGGTCAAACCCTCGCAAGATGCCCTGCACGTGTCTGCCTCCATTCAGCTTCACTAAAAAACAAGTTATTAGTGCTAAAAACACACACACAACCCTAACCCTAACGTTTCAAGTGAAACTAAACTGGTTTGCTGCTAAAAATAAGAAATAAAACAACAAAATGATCAGGCTGAATAACAGACTCTTATCATGAAAGGCTCAATAATATGCATCAGATTGGTGTTTAGTTCCTTTTTCTTGTCTGATATTTATAGTTAAAGTATTTGTATATATCTGACCAACATTTCAGTAACATTTTAGGTTTGTAGTAATAACACTCATCTTAGTCAAAACAACATAAATATATGCGGTAAAATATAATGCTTTTCATTAACTTGCATTTGTGTTGGAAATGCTAATAACATGTAATTTCTGCTGCTAACAGTGTAACGGTGGCCTATCTGTTATGTACAGGTTGGCAATAATCCAGTTTAATTTATGTTCAAAGATAGAAGCATTTGTGAATTATATACTACAACAGCTTGCCGTACTTCCTGCTCCTGTGTGTGGAGCAGACTTGTAGCAGTCATGTGACTCGTATCTGCAGCGGGTCTGATAGCGTAGCGCTGCAGGATGCAGAATAAACAGGATGGTGGGGACTTGTAGAGTTTAGTCTTTCTTAGTTGTTAGTGGATGAAATCCCACCATCTCCAACTCAACCTCTCTAAAACTGACCTACTTGTCATCCCAGCAAAACCATCCATACAGCACAATATCTCAATCCAGAATGACTTCCTGTCTCTGGCTCCTTCAAAGGCAGTTGGAAATCTGGGTGTTGTGATTGATGAACACCTAACCTTTAAAGATCATGTTGCCTCTGTTGCCCGTTCATGCCGCTTTGCGCTGTATAACATACGAAAGATCAGACCATACCTAACACAACATGCCACCCAGCTCCTGGTGCAATCTACTATCATCTCCCGCCTCCATTACTGCAACGCCCTTCTAACTGGTCTTCCAGGCTGGACTGTGAGACCTCTTCAAATGGTCCAGAACGCAGCGGCGCGTCTGGTCTTCAATCAGCCTAAAAGAGTACACGTCACCCCTCTGTTCATTGAGCTCCACTGGCTACCGCTAGCAGCATGCATCAAATTCAAATTGCTAACACTAGCATACAAAGTCCGAGATGGTACGGCTCCCATCTACCTGAATCCTCTTGCAAAGGCTTACGTCTCGGCCCGGCCGCTCCGGTCATCACAGGATGGTCGGCTAGCAGTGCCTACACCACGCTCAGGACAATCCAGACTCTTCTCATGCATCGTTCCACAAATGTGGAATGACCTTCCAAGCACTACCAGAACAGGGGCTTCCTTTTCTATTTTCAAGAAACTCCTGAAGACCCTGCTCTTCAGAGAGCATCTTCTAAACTAGCACCCTCCCTGCACCCGTCCCCCCTCTCTACTGTCCACTCCTTGTTCCCTCCTCTCCATGACTGATGTCCAGTTGTTGTTGTTGTTGTTGTTAGACTCAAGGGCAACATGCCCATTATCACTTGTAAGTCGCTTTGGACAAAAACGTCTGCTAAACACATAAACATAAAGTTTTACGATCATCATGTTTTTCTGTGCGCCACTTGATCGTGAGACTGCTACCCGTTAGCTTTAGCATTAGCCAATCTGCAGGCAGGAGGCCCCCGGGTCGACCCAGGACACGTCGGAGAGGTTACATCTCCAATCTGGTCCAGGAATGCCTTGGGGTCCTGCCGGAGGAACTTATGGAGGTGGCTGGAGGTCCCTAGTTGGGATGCTGCCCCCGCGACCCGGATAAGCGGAGGAAGACGACGACAATCTGCGTGTAGCTGCATTTTAGATCCCAAACTTTGGACCAGTTCTGCCTTTGCTGGTTCCTTTATTTTTCTCCACTGCACCAGTAAAAAGCATTTTCTTATACGTAACTTACTTCTGTTCAGTAAAGTTCTGGGGAACATATAAATTCAGAGATGCTGCACCAGTGCTACGTGTAAAAGTAGACAGACGCACAGACAGTTACAGGCCTGCTCCGATATGGAACAGCCTGGGGGGAATCAGGACGTCATTAGCACCAACCATAGATATGTACCAACTAGCGAGAAAAGCTATTTTTGATCTTTTTCTGCAGCGGTTGTAGCGCTTTTCGGTGCACCGCTGCTGATACAGCGCCCTGTAGTGGTGCAACGCTGCAACTGCAGTTAAAATAACATCCAGATAGCTGGGGGCAGAGTGACATCAGACTGGGGAGGCACAAAATTAGCTGGAGGAGGCCGCCACGCTAATTTGAATTAGAGGTGTGAATCTTCACTTGTCTCCCGATTTGATTCGATTACGATTATTGGGTCAACGATTCAATTCGATTCGATATCCCGATGCATCACGATTATTTCATATTGATTTGTTTTCATCGATAAATAGAAGATGTCAGATAATTGCTTTTTATTTTAAAATCAAAAACATAATTGACACAACCTGCCATCCCTCAAAAGCTCTCCATTCACATCAGGTTAGGACAAAACATTTAAACATTTAAGAAGATTTAACAAAGTAAAACATCTGTTTCCTGGTTCAACACCACGCCTCAGGCTGAGAAAAACACGCTTTCAAAAACTCACAAAATCTAAAAAAGTACTGAAACCCTACAGGACACATCATGTAATAATAAACTCCATAATGGGTTCATATATGAGTGTTTAATGTCTCTGAGCAGCTCTAGAGTCAGATATTTATGCCACAGTTGAAGGGTGTCAGAAATAACACCAAATGAAATGTTTGACTTAGTTTATTTTATTTGAACCCAGCGGTTCGTTTCTGAAATGTTGGAGAATGAATCAAGTTCTGTTTGATGCAGAAAATAATAAAACATAAAACAAATTCTACACTCCAATAATATTTAAGATGTGTGTTTTATTCTTCCTGATAATAACACCAGCAGAAGGCTGTGGGCTGGATTAGGATTAAATTACCCAGCTGATGGATCTCCTTCACTAACCAGCTAACTAACCTTTCCACTAACCTGTCCTGTGGGACCCTCACCATGTGACCCTCATGTCCATGCTGTCTCTGGAGGAGCAGATAGGAGACAAGTCTCCTGTAACTTCCTCCCAGTTCCTCTTTAAGCTGAATTTAACATCAGTTTATCATCATGGAACAAAAGAATAAAGTAGAACAAGAACTTCTATCTTCTATCTCTCTCTCCTTTTAACTTCTCCGTGTCCCTAAATAAAAGAGACAGATGATCACGCTGCAGCCGCCGTCACTGACCCCGCCCCCTCCCTAAGACCGGATCTCCCTACATTACCACAAGCAGTCTGACTAGGTATGAGTACTGAATTCGGTACTTTTTAAGGTACTGACTGAATTCCATAGTACCGACCGAGCACCATCATTTCAAACGGTGCCTCGTTTCGGTACCCGTCCTTCACAACGAGAACTTGCCTGGACAGCTGCGCATGCGCAAGAGCGTTATGTCATCACTCGCTGCGAGCCAGTTGTAAACAGAGCAGCATGGTAGAAAGAACGCACGCCAACGCTTGGGTCCACTTCACTAAATGTGATGGGTAACTGGGTGATGATGAAACCAGTAACAACGATCTAAGTGAGACATCCTCATCTTAATCTGCTCCGGTAGGTAAATAAAATGTAAGATAATGTTAGCTTGATTTGTTAGCTTCCGTTTCACTAATGGTGTGTTCGCTTTCTCCTCGGAACTTCGAATTTCCGACTGGAATAACATGAACGCGCTCTAAAGTTTGGCTTCACTTTACTAAATGCGACGGGTAACTGGGTGAAGATGAAACCAGTGACAACGATCTAAGTGTGAGGCATCATCGTTTTAATCTGCTCCAGCAGCTAAATAACCTGTTTAAGATAACGTTAGCTTGGTATGTTAGCTTCCATTGCCACCGTTGTTATCAGCTAATGGTGCGTTCGCTTTCTCCTCGGAAATTCTAACTTCCCAGTAGGAAAAATCAAATGAAAAAAGACGGCAAAAGGAATGAAGATACACAGTAAATTTAGTTCACAGTAAAGATGTTTGCTTCAGTTTAATTATCAGCTTATAAAACTACAAGGACGATGTTAAAATACAAACAGTTGTATGTTATTTATCGTGATATTTATCAAATATGGTTATATATTGAGAAAAATATATATTTAATTATAAAAGAGAATTAAAATAATAAACACTCAAAAGTATCTAAAATTGATACCGTTAAGTACCGGTATCGATTCCTAGGTACCGGGAATTAGTACCGGATCGATTCAAATGTCAAAGGTACCCATCCCTAAGTCTGACTGAGCGCTTCCAGGAGAAATTATGAAAACAATAACGCGTGTTTGGAGCATCGGTTTAGAGGAGCGTCCTGCGATCCTCTCTCGTGTGAGTAGACAGTCTCTCTCTCTGATCGAGCGAGCGGAGCGCGCCGCATGACAACCCGCTCAATTAACATAATTCACGGCCCAAATCCAACAGAACCGGTCGGGCTGATTCGGTTCCGGCTCAGGTTACAACTCTAGCGCTCAGCACTGCAGTACCACATTAAGGCGGAACCACGTGGTAAATGTGGAGGACGCTCACTCTGACAGATGCTGGTGCCGCCGTTAAAAAAACAAAACTACATTCCACTATAATCGATTACGGCGTACTCTTCTACGATTTATGTCCGCATCCCGATGCATCGATTATTTTCCTCAGCTCTAATTTGAATGCAGGAAAAACCCTGCACAATCTTCACAGAACCCCTGCAAACCAAGCTATTTACCCCAATTATGCAGCTAAATAAACAAAAGTAAATACAAACATTTAAAATCTAACCAAACATTAGCTGACATGCCTAAAAAATGATTTTACACCAACAGAATGATCTCTTAAAAGTTATCAAAGAAATATATTTATTATTGCGCATGTGTATACTCACAGTTGCCTATCCCTAGACTCACTCTGTCAGTGTTTGGAGCAAGCAAACGACCGGATGCAGTCTAACTTCCTCCAGTTTAACAAAGACGAGACTGAAGTTATCGTCTTTGGGAATCAGAAGGTTAGGATGGACGTTACTGCTCAGCTCGGCTCCAGAGGAACGAAGACAAGGCAGCTTAAAGTCTCGAGCACGTTTCAAACACAGAGGCAATCCTATGTGCTTTACAGTCACCAGGACATGATAAAACACTAACTACAACACACACAGATAGAATTACAGTTTAGAGCTAAAGGACAAAGACTCATAACTGATTCAGACCTGAGCTGCACCGGGTCAGAACCAAGCAGGGTGATGCTGCACACAGATGAAATCAGCTTCCCCGCGAGCTCAGATGTGCCCCATCTCTGGTCTCTTTATTCATCTTCCTGTCAGTCGTTGCTCCTCGTGCTGCACCTTCTGCTCTGGTGTTCCCAACCCTTCTCAGCCTTTTGATTTGACTTAGATGAATTTTAAATCTGCTGGTTTATGTCAGACTTGCTTCATAGATCCAGACCAGGCTGAGCACCACGGAGGACAATGCCCTCCACCCTCTAACCTTTAACCCTACCCTGAGAGTTTAAGCACACCCCAACCTACAAGCGGCTTTTAAGAAGGACTGAAAACGTTTCTCTCTAGTAGATCTTTTATAGTAAAGCTTTTCATCTTTCATAATCAACATTTTCCTTTCCTCTAAACGCGTTGAGATTGTCGTGATGTAAAGCGCAACACAAATGCAATCGATTATTATTCCGTCACGTGGTTTTAATGTTTTAGCACCTTAAAACTATAAACTCTTCATAATCACAATAGGGGCTTTAAAGACATATTCGTAAAACGCCATACTCACATGAAAGCTTTTTATCCATGAATCTGAAACATAAAACAACATTTCAGGCGACGGTGGTTCACAGTTCAGGCAGGGTTGCTAATGTTAGCCTCATGGTAAAGAATGGAGCAAAGCTAACAGGCTAACACGTTCTTTCCGTTAAAATCGTGGAAACAAAATTAATAATTTCTAATTGTATTTTTAAACACGTGAACTTACTTCTTCAGCTCTGGCGGGTGTGCTTTGCTCATTCTGTATCGTTTTTTGTACCGAAGTCCGGTGAGCTAGCTCGTCGGGGTTACGTAGAACAAAACCGCGGAAGGAAAATGTGACCGGAAGTGAAGCAGTTAGCGTTTACAGTCCCACTACGCCCCCTCGAGGCGGGGAGGAGAACGTGTTAGGGTTGGATCTGCAAATATCTGCAAGAACACTTTGTTTCAAACAACTTTTACAATTTTATTGTCAATCTTACAAAAAAGCAAAAGTAAACGTAAGTATTACATATTATACTGAAATGTATTTGAAATGTAAAACGATGTTAATAAGTGCATATTTTATGTTCCTTCTACCTTATTGTTTGTATTCAGTTGACCATTTATTTTGCTGTTGAACGACAGAGATGCATTGTGCTGCCTGATTTTTACCTGTCAGACCGGAGTCCCTAGCTCCCAGCAGTGTCAGCTCAACTTCGTTCTCTTCTTTTCCAGGACGGAAATCTGTTGTGCAGTTTGTATAATTTACACAATTTAACCTAATCTTTAAAGTTATTCTTTCATTTCTGTAAATTCTCATCAAGTTAAAAAGTATAGTTAAAATTAAGCAGATTCAACAGATAACAGGAAGAAGAGCTATTTTTGACAAAGTAAAAAACAACAAATAAAATTCAGTGAAACCAAGTTTGACTATGAAAACTCATGGAAGCCCACAACCAATATCTAAGAACACAATAAAACCAGATTGTGATTTCAAGAAGGCAACTGTAGAAGTCAAGTCCATTACTCGAACTCCTGAGGCTGCTAGACCGGGACCTGGTTGACGCTCTGTGTTGATCCGATGTTGACTAAATTACTTGAACAGCCTTAAGCGTGGAGTTGTTATGATAATGCTTCTTGTTTAATGTTGATTGCATTCCAGGATGTAACAATGATAGGAGTAATCCGATTACTTTCCCATTCAAACGTCTTCATGCCACAGCGGTCAAAAACCTGTTTGCCCTTCCGGAATAGTGCCTGACGCCAACAATGACATCACTACCTTTATTCCGACCAGTAACAATGACATCACTACCTTTATTCCGACCAGTAACAATGACATCACTACCTTTATTCCGACCAGTAACAATGACATCACTACCTTTATTCCGACCAGTAACAATGACATCACTACCTTTATTCCGACCAGTAACAATGACATCACTACCTTTATTCCGACCAGTAACAATGACATCACTACCTTTATTCTGACCAGTAACAATGACATCACTACCTTTATTCTGACCAGTAACAATGACATCACTACCTTTATTCTGACCAGTAACAATGACATCACTACCTTTATTCTGACCAGTAACAATGACATCACTACCTTTATTCTGACCAGTAACAATGACATCACTACCTTTATTCTGACCAGTAACAATGACACGCCCACATATCAATTAAAACATCGAGACCAAAGAAAAGGAAACAACTTATTTGGCTCCTACACCAACTGACAAGTGTTTTTAAGCGAGAGGCAGAGATTAGGGGCCATCACCATCGACACTAAATACACGGTCACCCCTACCCTTGTATGTAGAGTGGTACTTTCTGTCTAGAGAACGCAGGGCCCGCGAGTGGGCGTATCTATGGATCATTACCAACAGCTACACAGGCACAGTGCCCTGCAGGGCCCTATGTACGTGCAGCCATTCCTTAAACCTAATCCTTGAAGGTGGGCAGTTGCACCCGAACTCCCACCAACATACACAGCATTAGAGTAGCCAAGGTGATCCAGCAGAACCATGTGTGCTCTCGGCCGCGTTGGCTTGACCCTATCAAATCCACCAGAGCTGGAAGGAACAGGAACACACAACCACTGAAATATAAGCTTCAGATTCAGGCCCGGGTCCCCCGAGGGGCGAGTGAGGAGAGAGGGAGTCCTACCTGGGACAACCCGAATCGCCTCAGCTCTGGTCTCATTTAGGTGTGATTGGAGTTCTTCCAAGACTCGTTTCCTCCAAACAAGGTAGGCCCGCCCCCTGGCAGAGAGACGGGTAGATCTGACAGTCTTCTGCATAAAAACAGAACCCCATTCTGAACCGTAGGGTTGCATTTCTAAGGTGTTTGAAACTTCCCAGGCTCGGCTGATCCAAGTCTTCTTGTTCCCTGGAGAATAATCCACTTGTTTGGTGTGAGTTTGCGTTTCCAGGAGCTCTTCTCTAAGAAAAAGCCTTTATTTTGTAATGTGACAACGCTGCTTCTAACAACTGATGCTTCTGTTTTAGCCAACATCGCACACCTTCAGCTGATCCGTTCAGTCCTGACTAGTGGTCGTGTAACAGGTCACCAAGGGTTAAAACCTCTAATTCACACCAGGAGAAAGAAAGCAAACCAACTTTATCTCAAGTGTAAAGGTTTTATTGTTTCTTATGAAGAGCTGTCCCAGTTTACAAAAATGCTAATAAGTCAGTCAGAAAAGCATTTAGACACAAACACGTCCTCAAAGCCGCTCAGTCCAAACGTTTGCATAGCTAGAAGAGCTGACCCGGCTAACCACGACCACAGGTGTGTGTGTGTGTGAGACGGCCACACGGACGCCTCCATGATGGAACAGAAACTAGAAATCACAGTTTAAGGAACTCAAACAACATCTGAGAGCTTTTCTACCAACATGAAAGGCAGGTTGTGTGAAACGTCCCTTCAGCTGAGAAACACATGAACCCGGATCAGGACGTGAAGGATTATAATCCGTTATAATCCATTATAATCAAGATGAGCCTTTAGACGACACGTCCCAAACAGACAAAACTGTAGTTAGAACGTTTTTCATGTGTGCAGCAGCCGAGTCTAGCAACAGCTTCAACATCTAAATAGATCTGACGTTTAAACCCAATAAAACTCAAAAATAAACGACGTTTGTGTTTCTGTGACGAGTTTTTAATCATTCCTGTTGATCCGAGCCGCTCTGAGACACCGGCTCAAAAACAAAAGCCCCTAAATCTCCAATCAGCTGAATTTTTGCCCCAAAACGTCAGAAATCCAGCAGAGGCCCGACGCGTCTGGTTTAATACAGGAAGTGGCTTCCAGGAGCACGCCGACTCTGGGGGTTGTGGGTTCAATCACAACAAACCTGCTGACTATCAGAGGGAAAACTGTTCAATGATGAAGATAAAAATGGAAGATGAATCAATTTAATGTGCTTCAAATTTCATTTTACAATTATTTGGATAAATCTTCCCAAGTTTGTTTTTGTCTGGTTTTAAACGACGATTCAGAGGTTTGACTGCAAAGTAAACAAACATGGCTGCACGTTTACTTTATGTACCCCCCCCCCCCCCCCCCCCCCAGGTGATCTGACCCGAGCATCCTCAATGACATTCAGCCTGTCTGCTTTTGTACGTGACCTTTGACCCGTCAAGCTTTTCTGTCCTGCTGGGTGAAGCTTGCTGAGATCTGGTCCTCCTCCACCCGCGCCCTCAGGTGCTCCTGACAGTGCTGGAGGAAGGAGCCCAGCGCTGAGAAGCCCTGCTGACAGGGCACACAGTGGTACAGCCTCTGCCTCTTGGAGCCTGACGATGTGCACGAGTCCATCTCAGTGGTGCACACGCTGCACTGCCTCCTCCTCACGGAGGACTGGTGGAGCTCCATGTGCTCCTTCAGCAGCTGCTGCAGAGAGAAGACCTCTGCACAGGAGGGGCAGGGGAACTCCTTTTCCTGCTCCTCCTCTTCCTCCACATCAGATCCAGTGACAGTAACTTTGTTGGGCTTGTTTTCCGATGGCTCCGCCTCTTTGGAGAGACATCCTTCATGCTGGCTTCCGTTATTCACGGAGCTGAACGGGGAAGCTGTGTGCCGTCTGACGTGGGCCCGGAGTGACAAATGATGGAAGAAGACTTTGTTGCACACCTGACACGGATACTTTCCGGCTTTCCGACGCTTAAGGATGACGGGCCGTGGCTCTCTCAGCTTCTTCTCTCTGCTGTGCTTCTCTTTTCTGTGCATGTTTAGTGTAGAAGTGCACCTGAAAACCATGTCGCACGAGCGGCAGCTCAGAAGCTTCTTTTGGGATTTTAGCATTCCATTTGCTCCTCCCACCTCTCCACCACCACAGCCTTCCCCGGACTTCTCACCCGTGTGGCTGAGCCGTTTGTGCCGCTGCAGAGCAGACTCTGTTGGGAAAGTTCTTGAGCAGACCTGGCATACACCCGTGTCTCTGCAGCTGGGTCCTGGAGTGTCAGAGGCATCAGAGCGAGCAGAGTCTCCCTCAGAAACCGGGGGAGACTCTGGGAGGCTGCAGGCATCGGCTGTATTTGGAGGAGACGACGGCCTGCTGCAGCCAGCCTGCTGATGGTGCAGCAGCGCCTGCTTCTGACTGAAGCTCCTCCCACATAGGGCACAGGCGTAGGGACTGCTGTCCAGAAGCAGTGGCGGATGGTGAAGCGAATTATCCTGCAGCCGGACTGGATTGGAGGTCCGAGTCATGCACGCAGGACACGGAGACCCGAACCGTGACAACCCACAGCAACACCCAGTTTGTGTAGAGTCTTGGTTACACTTGTGTAGCTGCAGGGACGACTTCAGGGAGAACGTCTGCCCACAGGCCGGACACCGGTGAGGCTTGGGGAGGGCGTGCTTAAGCTCTTGGTGCTTCAGCACATCTGCTGCATACGGGAAGCCCTTACCGCATTCTTGACAGACATACAGGGGGAGGTGGGAGGGTTGCTGCCGCTGCTTTTGGGTGTGCGGTCTGGTTTCACTTCGTGCTATGAAGCTAGCGAGTCTGGACAGAGTCTCTGCTGTCGGCGTGGTGCGGCTGAAGGACTCCTGGGACCTTGACGTGCTCCAGCTGACACCATCCATTTTTCCAAAGCCTCTCTTGTCCTGCGAGAGACACAGATTCAGAGTTAGTCATGTGATGAGGATTGATTCAGCCATCGTTTTAGATTAGAAAAGGCAACATTTTAGTAAAATATGTACCGGACGAATGAGAACACTGAACATAAACCATGTACTGGGTTGGCATCGCCTCTTCAACGCAACAATAAGTCAGGCGGTCCTAATGTCCAACTCTTTTTCATTGTTCTGCGTCCAGGCTGGTCATTAATGGATCTACACTCTTGAGGTGAATGCAGCTGCTGCTCAGAACCCTGAGCCGGAACAAGCTGAACGGATGAGTTTCATTCATCCGCTGCAGATGTTTGAGTCTTCTTTTCTCAATACACTGATGTCCCCGTTTCCGTGTCTAACATCTTTAATCACACGTTCACATTTTAACCACGTCTATTACTCATTTTAAAATGTGTTGTTCTTGTGAAGACACTCGTGATTCACACCTTGAGAGACGCTATTTAAAAGGTCGTTTTCTCTTAAGAGGCGACTGGACGAAACCGGAAATTCCCACCAAACGTGACGTCGCGCTCCACCTGGTTTTAAGCTTCAGCGGTCTGTCATGTGTAAACGTTTCACACCAGCTTCAGGTCGTGAATACCAAATACAAGTCCGTCTCTAAAGGTCAGGTTGGGGAAAAGCAGCGAAGTCCAACATTAAAGTTTAAAAGACTTTCAGAAAGGAGAGAGAACTGCTGACCAGAACATCCGCTAGACGACCCAACACGTTTGCAGGGTAAACAGTCATGTCACGAGAAGCGACCACCTGAAACAGGAAGTCCCCAGGTCAGGTTATCAGTTAGCTTGTTTCATCATCCAGCTAACGCTCTCTAAGCCAGTTAACGTTCTCAAAGTTTAAAATGTTAACTCAACTAACTATAATGAGCAGCTAACCCGGTTTACCACGCCCCCTAAAGAAAAACGAGGAAACGTTCAAACGCGACCAGTTTAGCCACTTGTTTGCTAACGTTAGCTCGTTGCTAAGCTATGCTAACATGACAAAAATCCACGTCAGTCATATTTAAGGGCTTACCTGGCCGGTCAGAACACACCTGGAGGGCGTCGGAACAGATAATCAGGTACAACCAGACGCTGTGGGTCGTTTACGGCTGGTTCTGGTCCGGAGAACCACACTGGCATGGTTGCGACTGCCAATGAGTGGAGGCGCCGCGAAGTTTACGGGTCACTTCCGCTTTCGGTGTCCGGTTCCCCGCGACTTTTTAAACAGCCCTTTGGTTCCGCCCACGAACGCAAGTAAACAAATAAAATCAGTCTGAGTGGAATAAAGTGGACACCCGCTAGAATAGAAACAAGTTCACTAACGTAAACGCTGTTTCAGCAGAATGGTCCTTTACAGGTCCTAAACACGAATAACGGTCACTCACCCGCAACCAGACGGCGCAGAAAACGGGTCACAAGTAATGAGAACTATGATGAATAGTTTCCCTTTATATTTGTGGAAGAAGTTTCCGATGAGCCTGAAGAGTTTTAAAAACATTGATGAAAAACGCCAACGCCACACGAAAGAGTAGAAATGCATTTAATATAAACAAAAGGAATGAGCATACAGCAGCAGCTGTAAGGCTGAAGCAGCTGGGACTAGTGAAGCACTTAAAAACCTTTAGACGGGCCCAAACAACAAACATTTGACTGAATAATTAAAGAGCATGGATGTTTGTTCAGCAGGTCGACAGCTTCAAGTTCTTCACAACACAAACAAAACAGCACAAAGTGAACAACACCGCTGTGGCAGCGACACAATCAGTGACTCACCTGAATGGATTAACGCAGTCTATGGCTACAGGTAAACCGTAGCATTAAACATTCGGATTGGTCGAAAAAACTGAGGAACACAACATTATTAAACACGACCATAAACACAGCGCGATCGTCCCTAAAGGCGATGAAAGCGTCGGGCGTGACGCAGCGCTGTAGCCGTTTACTGTCAGACTCCAGCTTCAGAGTTCAAACAAACCCTGATGTTGTGATGCCATCATCACTGGTTGATCTGCACGCTTCAGGAACAAAAACTAAATACCTGAACAGGTAAAACAGAAGCATACTGGTGCGTGGTGACTGGATGAGCTTCAGGACCAACGAGAACCAACATCTCCTGATTTCCACGGCTTCGGCTCCTCCATCAGGTCAAAAGCACTCCGACCTCGGCTTGTGCCTTCTCTGAGACGAGTGTTTATAGCTCTGACTAGATCTGTGTTCATCATGAAACACAATCACGCCGATACGTTCATTACAAGCTGCATTTGTTGAATAAATAATAAAGGAATCCATCAGATGAACTTGGGGAGAAAGGAAAGATGCTTGGAGCTCAGGTTGGGAGGTCGTTCATGAGATAATCAGGAAGTGGAACGACACTCAGCTTCCTGCTGGGGCCACCGTGATTCCTGTCTAAAACAACTCATCAGTGTTTGTCTAAATGAGATTTAAAGGGAAATAAATGACAATTACCTGGTTTATAATAAAGTTTCCTCTTAATAAACACCATCTTTCACTAAAAGGACCGTTTCACAAACATTCATCCTCCTCCAGTGTGGCGCTCGGCGCGGGCGCCGCCTACAACCAGACCAACAACTAAAATCTTTAAACACGAGTGGTTAAATATCCTGTAACAGTCCGTTAGCACGTTAGCCGCTAACACTTGATCTTCACTGTCCGGAGGTTGGGTCATCCAGTGTGACCTTTGCCCCTACGGCGGGCTGGTCTACCTCTTGTAGTGACTCGGGGCGTCTGCAAACATGTACTTGAGTCTATAGGCTTCAGCCAGGAGGAGCCCCACCTCCTCGTTCCCCCAGTGGATGGTAGGGAGGTTCTGCAGGAGCATGAGGAGGCTCTGAGGAAGACAGCATGTTTAGGCAGTCAGACCTGAACTCTGATTTTCATCTCGGCCGTCTGAACCCCGTCTTACGCCCCACCCGTCGTCACACACGCCAGTACCTGAAAGTCCAGCATGGACAGGATCTCCTTACGCCACTCCATGAGGAAGGCAGCGCACACGTACAGGTGGAAGTGGGAGAAACCATCCGTTTCAGCCTGCACAAACAACCACGTTGTTACTGACAGATGTGGACATGCACACACAGGACGTCTGCGACCCAGCGGTGCTACCTGGTAGGTGTCCCACAGACGAATGGTGCAACGAAGAGGAAGCTCCCTCATCAGGAGGTTGTTCATCCAGCGGAAGGCGAACTGCAGGTACTCCACTTCATACTTCTTAAAATGACTGTGAATGTCGGCTGAGGAAGGAAAAGCCTCACGGTTACCTTCAGCTCGAGTGACCCCCCCCCCCCCGTAACT